TTTTTAAAAAAAAAAAAAAAAAAAAAGGAGAAGAAGAAAGGAAGAAAGAGAAAGGAAGGAAAAGATGGAGCCACCCACAGACCTGAGGAGCACCTGACTCACTGCACTGGACAGCCTTGTCAAACACCTTCTATGGAACACTAGAGGGGAGCATGTACCTTATGTGTCACCCAGCATGTACCCATACACGTCAGCCAGCCTAGAACCAGCCACCCTCAGGACGCTTCAACCATCAAATGTGGTTCTTCATTACTGAGGGGAATCCTGCTGGGTTGTTTCCTGGGTAATGCAGCTACTGAGGCCTTTGGCCAACTCAGCCGGTGGATGGCTAAGTCCCTGACCCGAGGTTGTCCTCAAGGAGGTGACCGCCTTCCAAGCTCAAGCCCTTGGCAGCCAGGCTGGGCTCCCAGCAACCTGTGGGGTGCACCAACCGGAAGTCCTGTGTGCCCTCTATGAAGGGCTGAGGTCTTCATCCCCATTCTGGAAAATGACACCGTAAGGATCACTCTTGATTCGCTTGTAGACAAAGTGGAAGACATGGGGCTGTGGCCGGCTGTGTAGCTCGGCCTTGATTTTTTGAGGATAAGTGTCCTCTGCCAGCTGCTGCCATGTTTCATCCACGAAGAGGAAGAGGCTGTACTCCTCTGGGTTGTCCACCTTAAACTTCTCAGCACAGAGCTGGCAAACGTCCTCCGTGGTGACGTAGGGCCTCACGAGTAGCGTCTTGCCCGTGCACCCACTGCCCACTTCTTGGAATGCCACCCGGAGGTAATTCTGCAGGTTTGAACAGAGACATCGGGGACAGAGTCAGAAGAGAAAATCAGACAGCAATAACTCATATGGGAGGCAAATGCAAGGTCAGACTTGTTTGTCACCAAGTCTGACATAAGGCTGCAAAGCTCAGGGTACGAGGAGAGAGGTCGATCTGAATTTGGATGGTGGGCGAGGGGGCAGCTATTGGAACTGAGCTGCCACACTGAGCTCACTGTAGGCAGAAGAACCAGCAGGACATCCTGCCCTGGTTTCCACCCCTAGTGCCCTCCACAAGCCCATGGAGAAATCCCTTCGTCAGAGCAGAACCACCTCCAGAGCCGGGATTATTTCCAGCTGGAAAAAGAAGCCAAACAGCAGAAGAGTTTGAGCTGGGCGTTGGCAGGAAGAGACTAAAGCATCCAGACTCCAAGCTCATTGCTGTTACCTTCCTGGGCACTATGCCAGGCTGAACTCCAAGAAACTGCTGACATCTGACCATTCTTTGAGCCCTACAAAACAGTAACTTTGTAGGGTTCAACCTAACCTAGGTTTTCTGTGGCTCTGGGTAGAAAATGGAAAAAAGCAGAAGGAAGATGTGAATTCTGCGAGGGGCTGATCATGAGCCAAGTGGCACTTCAGGATGAGACTGTGGGGTGGGCATGGAGACGGTGCAGAGTGTGCACCACTCCGAAAACCCACGAGCCTGAGGGGGCTGCAAAGATCCTAGACACATCCCAGACTTCCTGGGGTTTGTGGCCCCAGAGAACTCTGTCTGTTTCCATTTCTTTGCAAGAGAGGCTCCCAGAGAAAATCGAGAATGCCCAGATAAATCCAGAAACAAAGACATTTTCTTTTTCTAGATCTGGGGCCCCTGTTGAGGAGGGAGGGAGGGCAGCTCTCTTTCTCAACCTCCTGGCTACCTGAGCATTTCTGGGTAACAGTGGGAAGGCTCTGGGCAGAGGGGCAGCCTGAGTTCTTGATTTGTTGTTGTTGTTTTGCTAGATTTATGTGTCTGGAAGGGATTTCTGAGAGTTCTGCAATCTTGGGGAAGAACATGCTGATCTCGCCTTTCACGATGAGCTGATTTGGAATCCAAAGTACCTTTGGTTCTTTTCAGAGGATTAAGTAGAGTAAGAGAGAAAAAGAGAAAGAAAAGGAGGGAAGGAGAAAGGAAAGAAGGCAAGGGAGGAAAATAGGGAAGCAGGGAGGGAGGAAGGAAGGACACACGAACATGGAGATGAATCTGTGCAGCTTCCCCACTTCTCTGCCTGGAACTCTGCTGCACAGGATTGAAGCCTGGCTTTCCAGCTCCATTTGAAACCCGCCAAATCCTCCTCAGACATCTGCAGGCTCACTCAAAGCTTCAGACAATGAGCAAGTCAGGAATTGCTGTGTCTCAAAGATTTCTGCAGTGCAAGGCAGCCTCTCCTCCCTACAAATAAACACTGTGAGTGCTTGGGGTTGAACCTAGCAGGTGCCCCACCATTGAGCTACAACCCCAGCCTGAAGTTTGAATTTGGGCCTTTTCCCAGGCTTCAAAATGTAGCAAGGCTCTGTGTCTCTCAGTGTGTCTCGTTCTCTGTCTCTGTGAGCCAAGGAGCACTGGGTCTATACATTTATGGAAACAGAAGTGAAACCAAACAGCCAGAGGGCAGCTTATAACCAGAGGGCCCCTTGGACCTGGGCCCCAGCAGGAGGTACCGCAGGACAGAGGGCAGAGCTCACACCCGGGGCACAGGGGGCACACCTGGAAATCATCCACGGAAGGGACGGTCCGGTTGGCGGTCCTCCGCTTGTGCCACTGCCTGAGCGTGTCCCTTGCTTCAGAGCTGAGCAACCGTGCCGCCTGCTCTTCCTGGAAGTTCTTGATGAGGGACAAGGCTCCGTAGGCACTGGTCAGATAGTAGCCTCCTGGAAGGGGAGGACAGGTGAGTTCTCCATGGTACTGGACTGTGGGGAGGACAGTGACGGTGTTCTGTTGTTAGAGTCAGGTGTGTGCAGTTGTCCCCTGTACAACTGGTTCCAGAATGGCGGCTTCCAATTGGATGCACAAACCTCATACAATACAACATTTCCTATATCATACACATATCCTCCTCTGTGTGCTTTTCCCCCTCCTTCCCTTCCTCCCTTCATTTTTTCCCTCCCTCCCTTCCTTCCTCACTGCTGAGGATCAAACCCACAATCTTGGCCTGTGCTAGGCAAGTGCTCTACTGATGAGCCCCACCCCAGCCCTCCTCCTGCATATTTTATACCGTCTCTAGATTACTTATAACACCTAAGAAAATGTAAACACTAGGAAAATCATGTCACCTGTATTGTTTAAGGAGTAAGATCAAAGAAAAAGGTTTAATACATATATAATTTAGTACACACACACGTTTAGTACACATGTAATTTATTTTCCCAACACTGACAACCATGGTTGGTTGAATTCGTGGATATGCAGAACTGGCTGTAACTTCCCCTTCTCCCTGAAGCACTTCCTGGTGGGAAACAGAAGCACCAACCTAGGAGCACATCACCACACTCAATCCCCTACCTATTTGTGTGTCTACCCCCCAGAGCTGCACCGGGTGCCTAGGCCCTGGCCATGTCAGGCAGCATTGACCAGCTGATAACATTTCTGTTTCCACAAATGGGATTTCCCCCTAGTGGGAAAGCCTAGATCATTAAAATTGTGAAAATGGATTTCCAGAAAGGGCCAGGATCTGAGGCCTGTTGGGGAGGTGGACGGAAGTCAATGAGGTAAGGGGTGAGGGCCAACTGCTCCAAGACAATACTTGCTCTTGGGCTTTTCATCTAGGAGTTCATTATTTCCCAAATTGTTTTTTGAGACAGTGTCTCACTATATAGTTCAGCTTGGCCTGGAACTCACTATATAGTCCAGGATGGCCTCCACCTCGCAGTGATCTTGCCTCAGCCTCCCGAGTGCTGGGATTACATTTATCAGTCTTAAGTAAAGCGCTGTCCTTTTGACGTTGCACTTAGGAATACTCTCCTGTGTTCTTGGGGCTTTTTGATGGAACTACAACACCGTCAGATGCACAGGTATTGTTTATAGTTTTGTCCTATAACATAATTAGGTGCCTGCCAAGAAAGTGAGGGCCATGCTAGACATCACTAGAGGGTGCCTTGAACGCTTCTTGACAACATCTTAATTGGGCCCAGTGTTTCTCACATTTAGACACATCATGCATCAAAATATTCATCGAATCTCTACCATGAGCCCAGGCCGGGCACAAAAGAGGATGGGGTTTGTAATAAACAGAATCTGAGTTCCTGCTCTCCAGAAATTTATATGTTTATTAAAGAAAGCAGACACAGGCAATTTATTCCTGCAGGGCCAGAAGTTCATTGCGGTTAAGAGCTTTCTGCAGAAGTGTCACTTTCTCAGCCAAAGTATTTAACTGCTCCTGGGAGGCCCAGCAGAACTGATCAATGTGCGGGTAGAAACGGCTCTGTGCCTTTGGACTTTGCACGAGCAACACTCTGTGAACTTGTGTCCAACAAGAATTGGAGAATGAAAAACACCTCTGCGGTCTGCAAGTCGCTGATGGAGCTGTAGGAACCATTTTTCACTGCAGCATAACCTGGCCAGCCCAGGGAGATTTCCACACACAGCCTTCTTTCCGTGTTGAGCTTCTTTCCGGTTCATAGTGCTAGGAATGGAACCCAGGGCTTTGTGCATGCAGAGCTACCCCATCCCTGCTGACCTTTCTGCCTGGAGTTCTCCTGGCCTTCTATTGATGCCAGGAGCTCCCTATGGCAACCTCGAAATGCCCAGCCTGGGCTTGGGAATTGTTGACCTTTATTAAATATTCACCCCACAAACAAATCAGCGCTTGATAGGGTGTAAAACATAGTGGTATAAATGACAGGTGCTACACAGAAGGTTTGCAAGGTTATCAACAGGGACCTCTGTGGTCAGAAAAGGCAGTGAGCAGGTGTCAGGGTTTCAGCTATAGCCTGGGGGTGACTGCATCCCCACAGGGGTGCAGGGGGCTCCTCGGGGCTTCAGATTTGAGCCTCAGATGTGTTCAGGGCACAAAGCAGAAAGCTAAAAAATGCTGGCAGTACAAAATGGACCACACTTTGAAACATATGGCTGCAATTAGGGGAAGGTTTTCCATTTCAGCGAAACTGGAACCTACCCTAAGAACTGTGCCCTCCTTGAGGAACCTATGACGTGGGCTCTACCAAGGAGAATACCGGCTTGAGCAGCAGAAAAGACCCGGCTGCTGCCCACAAGCCAAACAGCTGCAGAAGGGACCATTAAAGGGTGTTGTGTGCTCCTAATACCACCACCTTATATGTGGAGCTTCAGTTCAATGCTGTGCAGGGCTGTTCTGCAATGTCAGCTACCACTCAGGGCCACCCATTCTCCTGAGGAAGGAAGGGGCAGCTCTAGACCTTGCAAAGGGACAGGGGACACTGTCCAATTTGAGCATGACTGGAGGGACTCCTGCAGGTGAGGAGAGCCACCTGCCCCTCTGTCGCCAACACCAATCCAAGGCGCTGCCTTGCTCTGGGGCAACCCAGGGCAGGGACAGGAAGTGGCTGTCTCCAGGCTGAGACCACAAAATATGAACCTTTGTTTGTCCCGAGTCTACATACTCAGCAGCAGGACCGTGACTTTCTAAGAGGGTTTGGCAAGTCCTTACCCACAGCCCTATGAGGTTGTCATCCTTACTGCTAGAATTAAACATGATGGAAGCCAAGAAAACAAAACCCAAGCCCTGAACTGCAATAATAACACAGTGGAAAGAGGAAAGTCTGGCATGGGGACAACATATGCTGCCCTTGAAGCCGCATGTGCTCCCCCTCCTGCCCATCAGGCAGGGTCCTGGAGGCTCCTCAGGGAGCGGCTGTGTCTACAGTTAAACGCTTAAAGCAGGGATGTGTCCAGCTGAGAGGGCCTTTGGGTGACAGAGCCCACATCTGTCTGTCCGGGCAGGGACAGGATGAAGGGCACTCCCCACAGAGAGCAGGAAGGGTGTGACGAGGGCTCTGAAGGAAAAACCCAGGACCTCAGGGTAGGGGCTGGGGACATTAATGCCATATCTGGTGACTCAGGCCTAGGAAATCCTGGCTGTACATGGACCTTTGTGCTCAAGCCCAGCCTGAACTTCCTGGAGAAAACAGTCATACCATCAAGTCTGTCAGGCTCACCCAAAGGTTTATGAAAAAGGATTAGCAGGGTTCACCATGCATAGGCCCAAATTCCTTCTTCCTTAACTAGACAAGCTCCCAAGTGATCTCCAGTTATGGCTGCCTCGATAGGTGTTGAACCAAGGTCACAAACATTTCAGTTGTTTCCATGATAAGACACTCAGCTGCTGACATATTGGCATAGGCCTGTAAATCCCAGCATTAGGGAGGTTGAGGCAGGAAGATCGTTGTGAATGTAGCCCGGGATACACAGTGAATTCAAGGTTGCTCTGAACTACATAGTAAAACCTTGTCTCACCCTCTCCCAATCTAAGATGTGCAGGGTTGGGCAGACACCGAGGAGGCTGAGCCTTCCAGGGACCTTACAAACAAACTACCATGATTTTGACCTCACTGTATCTGTGGCTTAACCACAAGCAGACACTATTTTTTAAATGGGAAAGAAATTGAATGAATCCTTTTTATCTTTAAAGCAAAAAAAAATTTTTTTTTGGAGACACTATGTAGTTGAGACTGACCTGGAACTCACTATGCAGCTCAGGATGGTCTCGAACTCACAGCAATCCTCCTGTTTCAGCCTCCCTAGTACTGGGATTACAGGCATGCACTACCTCTCTTGACTAGGCAAAATTTTTTTAAAAGATTAAAAAAAAATCAGGCCTTCATTTATTTCAGTGATATAACAGCAAGTTATTTTTCTGGCAATGGAACTGTTCTCTAATAAAAAGTTTATAACTTCCTCTTGGGAAAAGACCACCAGTCTCAGTGAAATATTAATTATGCCAGGGGCTACACCTCAGTTTTGTGTTGTTTCTGAACGCTAAATTTTCTATGATGAAAATGTACTATGCCTTAATCACAAAGTCAATACATACTTTTAAAATTAAAAAAAACAAAACAAACTGTAGCTAACCCTTAAGATGTCAAAAAAGGACCCGAGTAACTGCTCAGTGGGTATAGTGTTTTACTCCAGGATGTGAAAAATGTTTTGGAGCTCTAGAAGTGGTGGCTTCATGACATTGTGGATGTATGAAAGGCCCCTGAGCCTTTCATTATAAAATGGTTACTATTTGGGCTTGTGATTTGTGGTCCAGTGGTACTGACCCTCATAGCATGGCAAAGCCCTGGGCGCAGTACCAGTGCTGCGGAGGGACATTAAATGGTTAATTTTTTTGTTCCATGAATTTCATCTCAATTTTGCCTGTAATCCCAGCAGTCTGGGAGGCTGAGGCAGGAGAACTGCAAGTTCCAGTCCAGCTGGGAAATTCAGGAATTAGTGAGATCCTATCTCAAAGACAAACAAACAGGCTTGGCACACAGCTTGGTACAAAAGCCCTGGGGTTCCATCCCTAGTACAGCAAAACAAAACAAAACCAAGCACCTATGTCCTCAACTTCGTCAAGAACACACTCATTACCTTCTCCGTGCAGCAGCGACGGGTCCAGGAGCTCCATCATGTACTCGATCTCGATGTCCAGCTCCAGCATGTCACACTGCGCTATGACGTAGGTCAGGACTGGCAGGAAGTCATCAGCGCCGTACATCCTCCCTGAGATCAGGAAGAAAGGGCAAGGTGGGGTTATTTTTATTCGTGTTTTTTTTTTTCACATCCTACTTGTTGCTTTTATTAGACAGCTAGGAGTCATTCCAGGGGGGAAATGTGCTTTTTATGAACAGAAGTAGGTATTTCTGGAATCCAGTGTGGTCTGTGACACTCCCAGCTGCTAACAGGAGAGATCAGCTCTTACTCACAGTTTCAGAATGAGAATACCTATGAGTCAATTAAAACATTTTAGATTTTCCTCTCACTTTTATGATTTGCATAAAATTATTCACTAGTATCTTTAAAATATCTTTACCTTCAGTGTCATTTTTAATTATTTCTTTTATAATTGTTACTGCTGTTTAGTACTCTTTCTCTTTTTTTTTTGAGACAGGGCCTTGTTATGTTGTTCAGGCTGATCTTTAACTCACTATGTAGCCCAGGCTGTCCTTGAACTCATAGTGATCCTCCTGCCTCAGCTACCCAAGTGCTGGGATAACAGGCATGAATGCTCAGGCAATGAGTCATATTGTTACACATTTACAAAATATTTACTTATGTTAATTCTTTGTGTCTCCTTTCTTATTGCTTTCTGTTCATAGTAATGACAAGAGCAAGTATCTCTGGGAGGCTGAGTCAGCAGGATCAAAGGTTCAAGCCCAGTTGGGTAATTTAGTAATATAGCAAGACCCTGTCTCAAAGAATAAAATAAAAAGGGCTGGGATAATATACACAGCTAAGTTAGTTAAAATATCATCGGCAGTCAAACAGGGATAGGCTCTCAAAGAGTTAGCACAGAAGATAAGAACACATCACAACTGTGCCTGGAGACAGAGGTGCATTTGTTGAAGGCCTCAAGATAAAGATAAAATGACTACACCTACATATGTGCCAAAGGGTGACCGATAATGACTGAATCCTCAATAGGCATCAGTCACCCGGTGTGAGGGACCAAGATCTCCTGATCCATTTCTTCCATGTACGTTTGTTAAGTGACTTGCTTCCCCATTGGATTAATATTACCTAAACAACTGTACTTACAACCTTACTGGTTAATCATAGTTTTGTCCCACCTTGTGATTTCAACCCACTTGATGATTTTGCTCTATAAAGCCTCTCCTGTAAGTGGAGTCTGTGGCAAGTCACTGTCCGAGTCCCCCCCTGTCGCTCTCAGGCAGGAGCTGTTTGTCCCTCAATAAATACTTCCTGCTCTTAAGCTGCATTGTTCCTAGAACTCATTCTTCAATTTTAGAAAACACAAACTTGGTGTATTAGACATCTAACAGGTTAAGAGCTACATCTATTTCCTCTATATCCTCCCTAGATCAGGAATATAGCTCAGTGTGAAAAGACCCAGGGTTCAATTTCCAGTACCAGCAAGAAAATAAAGCGGGTGGGGGATTCAAATCAGGAACAAACTCTGATCTGCAATTTTTCTAAATGTGCCAGTTCAGGACATGTTGAATATACACTTTGGCTAACAGCAAGATGTGGCAATGTTTTTAGTCCTTATTGCTAATGTTCTTAACAAGGGTGGTGACTTTGCTCTCCCAGGGGGCATATGACACTGTTAGGAGACATGTGTCATAGCCACAGCTGGGGATGTGAGACCATTGGCATCCTGGATGCTCCGAGGGTCCTCCAGGAAGCAGGACATTGCCCCCTGCCCTGCCCCAGCCGTGCAGAGGTGAAGACACTGTGCGGCTTAGGAACATGATCCTGCCCACATATTACTCTGGAACATTTTATAAGTGATTTTTGTGAACTACATAAAATAATTTCTGTTTGAGGAATATGCTTGCCCATTGCAAAGGCTCTGTTCACAGTTCTCACTCTCAGCTCAGAACTCAGATTTTAACATCCTCACCCAACAGTCTGCAACAGCACACACATTACTGTCTGCTTAAGCAGTGGTGAATGGAGCCCATGTGTTCCCCATTGCTTCTCCATTAAGCAATTTCACTCCAGAGTTGGTAATGGGCTTGGAATTCCAACCATCTGAACAATGTGGTGCTTGGTCCTTACCCAGCCATCCCTGCGACTTCTTCCTCCACAGGAAACTGTATGGGCAATCTAAAGGCTCACTTTTGACTTTGTAAGTCTCTTATGTGTTCTAGGAACATGACACCAACACTTCTTGCCCAAAATGCAATAATGATTGTTACTAAAATTCCCACTACCCTTGGGGCTAGGTGTGAGTGGTCCCGGCTCCCCACAATATGCTGGGGAGGGTCCTATCCAACTACAGATACAGAAGGCACAGATAGAAGGTCAGTGACAAATGAGCCCACATGCAGAGGAAGGCTCCAAACACAGACCCCAGAGACAGGTTTCCTAACCTCTACCTTGCACTAAATCTTTCATTAGCAAGGTACAAAAATTGAGTCACCCTTCTCTGCCTAATTTATTGGTGCTGTCCTATCACGTATGCATGTGACTAATTCACAGACACCAGAGTGACACATACTTTTGTGAGCTGCTTGGTAGAGTTGGGGATGGGTTGGCCATTGCACTGGGCTGGCAGAAATGGCCTTACCCGAGTTGTTTTCCATTACTGTGTAGATGAGCTTGCACACCCGCAGCAGCAGCATCACCTTCTTCTCTGGCGAATACATCTTCTGCATCATCATGAACTTGACCTTGATCTTCTCCACATCCACCAAGTCAGGTGTTGGGGCGAAGACCCCCAGCTCCTGAGGGTTCCGCTGCCGCACAAGCTGCAGGTTCTCCTTGAGCTGTCTCCACGAGCCATCAGCCATGTGGAAGTCCCTCAGCATGGCCTCCACGTGTCCCTTGAGGGGCTTCAGGATGCACTTGTGCATGGCCTTCTCCAGCACCACATCTGCCAAAGAAAGAGCAGCCACTCTGACCTTTGTCTGAAGAGAAAGTAAGCAAACCTGCTTCCAGGCAGTAACTCACCTGCGGACAGTGGCTTTTTCCTAATCATCATGTCTAACTTGCACAAAATCATACAACAAAATATATTTGTTTGGGTTACTTTACACCCTCCCATGAACACAGGCAAAGATTATTAGAGGGCATTCTTTCAGCCTAGCTCATTCACTCTCCTCTCCTGCTGCCAGCAAAGCATATTTGTTACCTTAAAGGAAGGATTTTCTAAAAGCAATGGTTCATGATCCCACAGAAATATTTTGAGAAAATAAATTCAATTAAATATGTGACCTTAGATTGTATTCTGGACCAAACAATCCTTTACAGTGGTTCCCTGGTTCACAACAATTCTGGTGGCAACCCAAACTGGTCAAGAACCAAATCAAATTTCCCCAAAAGGTCAACATTGAACCTAACCGTTGAATTTGATGCGGTTTGTGACCAGAATTGTGGGAAGAATCAAGTTTGTGAACTGAGATGCCGCTGTATTTCACTTGCTATATAGACACCACCCATAAGGCATTCGATGAGATGTGAACAAAATCTGCAGCTTAGGTAATAGTGTGACCGTGGCTTCAACATTAGTTTTCTGGGTTTGATAATTGTTATACAACAGAGGATCTGCCTTTTATGAAATCTGCAGCGAAGTATTGAGGTGAAAAGAGGCATGATGTCTGCAGCTTATTCTTTAGTGGTTCAGAATAGAGGGCATATATGTGTGTGTGTGCATATGTGTGCCTGTGTGTGTGTGTGGGGGAATGAAGCCCATGTGTCAAAGTGCTAACACTCCAGGATTCTGGGTGAAGGCTAGGCATTTCTTTGTATTGTTTGTGCAACTTTCTTGTAAGTCTGACATGATTTCAAAATTAAAAGTTAAAAAGAAATTAAGTGGGTTTCTGCACAGAGTTAGGAAAGACCTTTAGGTGTGGGTGGCCTTACTGTTCCTTTTTTGAAAGGTTACCCAACGGAATAGCTTTCTTGTCCAGGAACATAAATCTGGAGACCTAGGTGGAAAATTATTTACACAATGAGAAGTTTTCTGCTTTTTCAGTACCTTCTTTTTAACCTCACATGTTTGCACATGATCATCAAATCACTTGCATTCACGGCAGTGAGTATACTTAATATGTGACATTTTAATGCGATTCTACCTTGGAAGCCCATAGATCCACTTGTGTGTAAGACCAGAAATAGTTGGCTTATCTCTCTGACCTTTGGAATTTCTAACATTGGATCAGATCACAGCGAATCCAAATTATTACCTATTATTAGAAGTCCAGGGACAGAGAGCAATCTAAGCCAGATGTACAAACACTGAAAACAATTTTCCTGTCGCCTGAAGTTAAAACTGAGGCGAAAAGTTAATGCTGCTCCGGTAATAATCAGATTTCCAGCCCAAGTTTTCCTTTGTTCCCACTTGCACATGCCACCGGGGAGATCTCTTTGTGGAAATTTAGAGCTTTATAGAACCATAGAAATCAGGCCAGAAGAAAGAGAAGTTATGAAGGAAGAAGGAAAGTAGAACAACACAGTCACTGTGTATTCCTTGGTTTGCATCGGTTGTTTTGTATCAATATTCTTGCGCAGGTTCATGGCATATTTGACTTTACCATATATGATCATTATCATAAAGTCAATAATCCCAACTCAGATTGAGGGTGCAGAGGGGTGAAGCTCTACCTGAATACTGTCACTGAATCCTCTCAGCAGCTCTGCCTCACCTGCATGACACAAATACCATGCCACGTTACGGACAGAGAACCTGAGGCACAGAAATGTCTAATGGCTTTCTTTCTTTTTTCTTTGTGGTACTGGGGATTGAACTCTGATCCTTGCACTTGCAAGTCAGGCCACCGAACCTCTGAGCTAAATCCCTGGCCCTATAATGGCTTTCTTGAGGCCACACAACTACTTGAAACAAACATTCTGACTACTTTTCAAAGCAAATGATCTTTTAATTCTCAAGTTCAAGGAGCTTTCTAAATACCATTTTATTTCTCATCCAAAGTTCTGGAAGCTCCATTTGTGATTATCAGGGACACCTACTTTGTTAGAATGGGATCACTGAAGGGACCGGGAAAAACTGCTGATCATTACTGAGGAGTGTACAGGAATGCTGGTGGCAGTGTTATTCTTATTTGCAAGAGTGTCCAATGGGAAAAGCCCAAAGCCCGGGCTGGTGGATACGCTGGATGCATTCCTATAACTGGATACTACAATGGAATTCAGACAAGGGACAGCATTCCTGTCAACCAAAAGAGCTCACTCAGCTCCAGGCAGTGTGGAGCAGGGACAGAGCTCATGCATACAATGCTGTGTGACAGGAGCCAGGCACGAGCACCGCTTCCTGGGTGCGGGGAAGTCAGGGTGGCAGTCATCCTTGGAGGAACACAAGGGCACTTCCGGAGAAATAGAGATGTCCTATTCTGGATCTGGGTGGTCGCTACCCACATGTATACCTGCATAAAAAGCTGTCCACCTTGGCAATTAATCATTTATGCACTTTGTGGATGCCAAATGAAGCCTCCACAAACCTCATCAGAGTTACAGAAAACAACTGAGGACCCACCTGGGATGTTCACCTTGAATAAAAGAGCACCTCCTAACGTGGGAGTGTGCCTGGTCTCCTTCGGGTATGAGTGTTTACTCAGTCTGTAGAGACTGAACTCTTCCTGGGTGAGGGAGAGGCAGAGCTCCTTCCCAGCAGGTTAGGAGGCCTCCCCTAGCACCTTGTCCTCGTGGCCAGGGACGATTTTGCCCGTGAACTCTGCCCACACATGTAAGAGGGCTCTGGGACTCTGTCAGGAGGGCTGAAATCTGAGCCCAGCCACCCCCACCTCGTGAGCAGCCCATCATCTTAACATCCCAGGTGGAAATGTAATTGCGGGAACTGAGGCAGGGAAACACGAGTAGTCCTCTGGTTCCCCTCCTCCTGGTTAGTTGCCTTTCCCATTGACCCTAGAAGTCACTTAGCTAAGCCACCCAGTGGCGGAACCCTGCTGGCTTTGCTGGAGACAATAGACCTGCCGCGTGGCCACCACGAGAACAAATATCGAAGTCATTTTTTCAGAAATTGGTGGTAGCCTTGTCGACTGGCACCATCGATCCCTCCCTTGGACTGGGCAGGTGTCTATGGGTGACTTTTGACATCAGAAGGTCACAAACGCTACTCTCCCAGCACACTAACACTGCCATTTTCTGAACGTTTCCTAGGAGGAGCAGGGAACTTTAGGATGCAGGTGCAGAACACAGGTGACTCCCTTTTCCCACCTCTGTCACTGCTCCCTCCACCCTGTGTCTTTATACCACAAGTATCCCTAAACCCTGTCCTCAGGGGGGCAGATCCGAGACTCAGGGCTCCCATTTCCTTACATTTGGTGGCCCCAGGAATAAACTCTTTCTCTTGTGCAAAACATCTCGCTTCTGCAATCGCCCACTGAGCGGCGGGAAGACAGGCCTCGTCTGGTAACAGTGCTAGATATTCTGAAATAAAAAGTGCAGCCTGTGACCCTGTCACCCGCTGCCCTCTCTCCAGGGAGGAAATCCCAGTTCTGTTCCCAAGGCAGAGGGAAAAAGGATTTGAGGAGCACAAGTAACAGAGGCGCTCTCAGAAGGGGAACCAGTTCAGAAAAGGCAAGGACACGCTGGCAGTCATACTTTCTTGTTTTTCATGATCTCTGGTTCCTTCAATTCCAACACAACAACCCCAAATATTTTACACTACGAACAATGACAAGATTCTGGGTCCTTTATATACTGACTTCAACCCTCAACCCCGCTGTGGGAGGACTATTCGTCTCCCCGTCACACAGGAGGAATGTGGGCCCCAAAGAGATAATGTCCCTAAGCCAGCAAGGGATGGAAGCCACCCTGGAGCTACACCCAGCCCCAGGACCTGTCCTTCCAGAGGCCACAGGATCCAGAACTCATCCTTGAGCAAAGACACAACTGCACTTGGAAATCTTGAAATTATAAAAGAGAGATGAATGGGGGGTGATGCTTTTTTTGTGTGAAGAGCACTGATGTAATAATCTATTTTCGATTTTTCTAATAACAAGAGAATACTGGAGAATTGTTTGAACTATAACATTCTGAGTTTTAGAAACCAATGCTAGCTGTACTTTGTGGTCCTCACAATAAGCCCAGGCTTTTTGTTTTGTTTTTTGTTTTTGTGGTGCTGGGGATTGAACCCAGTACCAAAAAGAGAAACAAGATTGAAAATCTGCACAGATCACATCAATTGGTTGCAAAGGTCTTCCTTCAAGAGGAAATGGTACAGCCCTTGGCCATAGTGTGGGTTCTCCTGGCCTTATGCAGCGGTGATAGGAAATAGCGTGTTTGCCAATAGTGGAGAAGTGGTTCCCTATTGCCACATCTGAAACAACTGATTCTCTCTAATTAAGAAAAGGATGTAATAGCTAAATCTTGGAAACAGCCCATCTACCCATCAATTGGAAACTGGATAAAGAAGATGTGGTTTTTCTACAAAATGGAATATTACTCAGCCATAAAGAATGAGAAAGTAGATTCATTCATAGTTAAATGGGTACATTTTGAAGATATACTTCTTAGTGAAATAAATAAGGCACACATATGCAAATACCGATTAGTATCTCTGGTATGAAAAACTAAAATAGTACTCAGGATCCTAATGGTACACTTAGCAAATAGGAAGAAAAGGACCAAAGGAGTAGGGACAGTGAGAAGGATAGGGAAGGGGGAACAAGGGTAAAGGAAAAAAATATGAGAAAATGTAAACATGGAATTAAAGTGTTTGAAGAGGGGAGGGGAGGGGAGGATGGGAAGGGTGGTAAAAAAATATGAGAAAATGTAAACATGGAATTAAAGTGTTTGAAGAGGGGAGGGGAGGGGAGGATGAAGGAAGGGTGGGGACAAGGGGAAAAAATGAGAACCAAGACCTGGCATGTAAAGGTACAAGATCCCAGTAAT